TATATATATATACTTTATTGTTATACACAAGAAATTCAAATTCAATGTTGCCTTGGGTCCTTAACTAGGAAGACCTGTACTTAAGGAGCAAAGGACTTCCCATATATATAAATTTAATAATTGTTTGTGTAGAAAAACAACTAATTTATGAATTAATAATTATAGTGTGTGTGTGTGTGTAAGTGTGTTGGTGTGTGTGTGTGTGTGTGTGAGTGTGTGTGTAGGTGTATGTTTGTTTGTTTGTGTGTGTGTGTGTGTGTGTGTGTAAATGCGTGTATGTGTATATTTATAAGTGAATATGGATGCGATGACTTAGTTATTACGTTGGAATAAATTTTCACATGTTTAAATTGTTATCTCTATTTTGTCAAACATGACAACGATGACGATGTATTTTATACAAAGATGTTGATCTTAGAAACCAGTGGTAAGTCTTCGTAGTTATTTGATAGTCCATTTATAGACAATCTATAAAAGCTAAAAGTTATTTTGGACCTAGATATTTGTAAATATCTAACCAGCTGATATTACGTTAGTTGTTTGTAAATATACAATGACTATAAGCATACGAATATCACCCACACGTTCACACCTCTTGCTTCCTCATCCGTCTTGCGTCACGCGACAAAATTAGAACGCATGCGATAGAGAAAATAGATCTTGTAGGATGATTTTTAGATGATTACACTAAAATATGAGGATCAAAGAAAGGGGTTATGTGTGGTCGTTATCGAAGAATTACTATATATTTCTTTACTGGATTTACCGTTGGTTTCTGACACCAAAATCTCTGCATTAAACATACCGTTATCCCTTTTTTATCAAAGGGGAATGCTTTAGGCATACTCCGTGCCTCGGGGAAGGCATGGTAGTTATATGGGATTCACGGTAGTTATGTGGGGGCAGTGGATACCGTTATCCCTGTAATTATCTTTGACAACACAGAGATGACAATACATGTTAAACAAAAATTATGGACTCCAAAACCATGCTTAGTAGGTTTACTTTCAAAAGTATCCGTTTTTTTTATCGTAAGATGGAAAATATGTTGTCACAAAACAGTTCATTTCAGTTGCATTTTCCGAAATAAACCACAAACGTTGAATGTAGGACATTTGAAATTCAAAGTTGAAGGAGCCAACAATATTATTTAAAACTGCTTTTGTTATATGGGTCAGGATACAATGGACTAAACATTTTAATTAAGAGCTGCTTTCTTTTCAGCTTGAAGATTTGGATGTGGCACTAACAGCGGAGACAACAGAGCCATCCGGCCCGAATGCATCTCGTCCAATCAACATAGATCTATCCCAGCCCGCCAATAACTTACAAAACACGTTCAACAAGTATGTATTTAATACAACAGGTGTCAACTATATTTGGTCTCGATTTTTTTCAGAATGTGTACCAACAATAGGTTTTAATTTATTTTGTGAATGCACAGGTGTGTTTGTATCTTGAATAACAAGATTCTTATCTAGATGATAGTAAAAAGTAGACGTCTGAATAAATAATGCATCAACTGTTAATATAAAATAAAGCTTACTATAAACGATCAAATGTTTTGTCAAATTTGTCTGATCATATTCATCAAATATTTCTAATAAGTATTTAAGCGTCTAACGTCGCGTACTTTTTGATAAACAAGTAAAATTGTCAGAATTTTTTTTATCGTGTATCGGACGCCTTATGTCGAGGAAGTTTTAAGTTTGATGTTATGAAATAAGAAATCATTGTGCATTGTATTCTGTCCATATTTCTCACGCCTTATGTATAAGTATAATATAGTACATTGCTTTAAAAATTCGCTCCATTTTTATCTTACTAATATTATAAATGCGAATGTTTGGATCGATGGTTGTTTGTTTGAATGTATCTCGAAAACGGCTGTATTGATCTCGCTGAAATTTGGCATAGATGTGGAACATAGTCTGGAAGAACACATAGGCTACTTATTATGTTTTTTCTTAATTCTGCGCGGACTGATTCGCGGGCGACAAGTAGTAATACATACTTTAAAAAAAACTTTATAATTACCAAATATTCGGTGAGATTAAAGGATTTTTTCTAACTCAATTTCACTTATTTAGTATCGGCTCTTAAAGTTGTAGACAAAAAAAACCCGGATGTTCGATGTCATAGTGAAAGTGTTACTATTGAAGAAACTTGAGAGCTTAGTTACTAATAAATCGTAAACTTCTTATTCCTAGTGAACTTTTATACTATAGAGCAGAGGTCTTGAATCAATATTTTGGGCACGTCACCATTCAATATGCACTATGAAAAAAGAACGAAAAACTTTCGAAAAAGTTAGGAATCTAGCTATAAGGAAACAATTCTAAATACTTTGGTTATAAAATATGTAGCCTCGGTTATTTCCAGATAGGAAAACTGTTATGGAATTTTCAAAATTGGTTGAATACTTTTCTTTCTCATCTGAAAATTAGCCTTCATTGAAAATCAAAGCCTTTACTTAAAGTTTAAGTTAACTGTTTAACTATCATATAAAAAAAAAGAATTTAAAATAAGAGCAGCAATTTTTATTTCCATTATAAAATGTGGGGCAAAGTTCCATTTATTTTTTTCTTTCGAACAGAACGAGCTCGTTGCGCATTATGAAAGACTGCACAATGCTTTGACCTATTTTAATATTCTTTGCAATTGTTTGCTTTTAGTTTTGTATGTGAATTATGAAAAGGGTTTCTTTACTCAACAATTAACATTATTATGTCTTTATCTAGTAATTAGTAAAATAAATATTATAAGTCAATTCAACGGAATTTTGTAAGCATATTGTTAATAAGTTTTTGAGTTTATTATTTTCGTATAGTCGTATAGGGATAGTTCTGGAATTGATTTCTACAAATTTTAGATTTTCTAATATATATTTCCTTTCCTTTATAAACGGTCAGATAATTTAAAGACTTTAAATGCTAATGGGATGTAAAGATTAAATTATTCAAACTTTCGTGAGACATTATACTAAACTGATATAAAAACGGCTAAACACTCACGTATATTCGTCCGGTGGCGGCACCGACTAGTTTCGAGCCCATCGGGGGCCCTTCATCAGGATGAGTGGTACTGGTATTATCCTGATGAAGGGCCCCCGATGGGCTCGAAACTAGTCGGTGCTGCCACCGGACGTATATACGCTAGTGTTTAGCCGTGTTTATATATCAGTTTAAGATGTAAAGATAGAAAAAAATGATAAGGTATTTAAAATTAAGTGTAATTCTCTAATACATTCATAGCTAGTGGAGTCAATGTTGGAAAAAATCTAAGTATAATTGATTACGAATTTTAGTTTAAAGTTAGCTTTGCTCTTTGTTTATTAAAGGTTAGGTATTCATTTGGAACATAGTATAGCAATCGACAGCATTTGTGAAAATGGCGCGTTATGAATGGAACACCGTGAAAGTGAATAGCGCGGAAGGAAACGTCAACAGACTTTTTATAAAACGATCATTCGATTAGATATCGATGTGAATTTATTGCCTTTCTTTATTCCATTTTCTTACCTCATCGTATAATCGAATAATTATTCGATTAATTTGCCATAAACAAAATGTAAATAATTTGTTACAGAATATTAATTTTGTTGATCTTTCTACTTAAGCTATAAAGATATATGTAGGATTAAATTATATACACTTTTATGAGACAATATCATAAGGCTAAACATACATTATTAGCTGTCGCCCGCGACTCAGTCCGCGCAGAATCAAACAATAAATTAATAAGTAGCCTTTGTCTTCAACGCTATATTCTACATCTTTGTCTAATTGCATCAAGATGAATTAAGTTGCTATGGAGATATCTTGTAACGGAGATCTAAACTTTGGCATTTATTATATTAAGTATGAAGATAAGCTGCAAAGTAGTTATACGCAATGGCTTAGATTAAATGTAATTTATGTATCCACAGAGTAGCGAAGTAAATATAATATTCTTGATACTTTCATTTAAACTGATGAAACAATTATGTCCACGATACGATGAAGTAAAACGATTAAATAATTACAAGATTGTACAAATTAATTGATCAATTTGTGCCAACCCTATTTGGCTTAGGAACATGGTTTACGATTATGATTTAATTCCAGGGGTTTGACAAATATATTGAATGAACGAGGTAGCCTTAACATGTACCAAAGCGGGGAATCACTAACGAGGATGTCACCTCCCAGTCTCGTGTCATCATTACTTATGGAGAGTTCAGGCACGTTCAACGCCGAATCATTAGATAGCAGGAAATCGATTGCCTCTTATAAAGATGCAGGTAAATTTAAGTTTTATGTTTCTAGATATACAAACGAAATTAGGTTACATCTACCGAGAAAGCCACCTTCATATTTACAGCCACTTTATCCATAAATTAGTGACATAT